GGGGGGGGGGGGGGGGGCGCCCTTGAGCCATTTAGCACCTTTTCAGAAGCAACAGCCTAGTAGCCAGATGCTGCAGTCTGGCCAGCCAGTGCTTCCCACTGCTCCATTAAGCAGCACAACCGTCAGGGGAAAAGCTTCCGCAAGCCAGAGGCAGCCCCCTAAGGCCAATCTGCCCACTTCTGCTCTAGAAATGACTGAAATCCTTTGCCTTACCCTGTACTTATTCTCTCCGATCTGCTCCACTTGGAACCTCTTAGCACATTTGCACTGAGCCACCTGCCTTGTGACCTGTTTGGATCAAGAAGAGGGAAGAGGGAAAAACAAGAAGTGGGGATGAAAGTTAATCTTGTCAGACTGCACTGGAACTCGGGTGCTTTAGCCCTAAAGGACAGGAAGGATTCTGGCAAGACAGAGGGACAGAGTTGCAGAATTTTCTGTGCTCCTTCCTCAGAATGGCATCACTTCACCAGCAATGACCATACAATTTACTGCCGCCTGGAATAACGCAGATGGGTTGAGTGGGGGAGGGAGGAGTCGGCTGCAGACACAGCTTAGAGAACTGTTGAAGAGGACCAAGTGCAGAGGGCAGGGTACATTCTGCCTCACTTTCAGCAGACCCCTGAGCAGCATTTTGACCGAAAAAGCCCCCCCCCCATTTTATTCTCTTCTCACCCTATGTTTTTGTCTTCTTATGTTTATTTATTTGGTGGTTTGGGGGGGGGGGGGGAACGGGACGACACTCCATGTGTGTGGTTTTGCACCCAAACTGCTCACTGCCTTGACTGAGACATGGGAATAAGCAACTGTTCATGAGACCCAGCATGAGGCCATGAGACCTCAGCTTTTCATGACGGAACGGCCCAGAGAAATTTACAATCCACAGCCACCGTGGCTAGCTGAAACTGGGAGCTGTTTGCTACTAAAGTTTCCCTTCCCTGCCATATCCTCCTGGGTTCCCACAGCATCATCAAAGCCTTACCTCATCTTCAATTTTGTCTGCATCTGTCGTTGGCCGGTAAGCGTCTTTGTTGGGATGCAGAGCAGCTACAAACTCATAGTAGTCAATATAGCCATCCCCGTCACGGTCAAAAATGTCAGCTACGGCAGTCATCTCTAACTTAGTCGTGGGAAATTCTGAAAGAGAACAAAGTGTGTGTTAATGCTAAATCTCTTTTACTTGCCATGCTGCAGGACTGATTTTGAAATATCAGACCAAAACCCCATCTCCCAAAGGTGACCAGAAAGATGCCTCGAGAATCTCCAACAAGCAGGGCACAGTGGGATATGCTCATCTCCGATGAGCCCTAAGTAACCAGAGGCATGCAGGGCCTCTGAAAGAAGAGACTGGGTTTCCAGCTATCATGGCAAGCAAACACCACCATCCGTATCCCCCCAACTAATCCTACTTTTCTCCCCAATGGAGGCCTCAAGGAGCTTCCATCATCTATCTCAGTAATGTAGGGGGGGGAGAGAGAGAGAGGCATTATCAACATGAGGACAGGCTGGTTTGGTTTTCCTGTTGGTGTCCAACCCAGCAACCAAGATTGCAGGTTCCCCTCCATCTTCCTTGCCCCCAGCCTCCCTGCTGCAACTGCCCACCTTGCCCAGCCCCACAGCCTTTTCAGTTTTTTTTTAAATCAGCAATTCAATATTGTTACAACAATATGTGAATCAGGTTCTCTGACTTCCCAGCTGTCACTAAAAAAGGAAGTCTTTTGCTTCTTGCATTGCAGAGATATAATAAGAAATCCACAACTCCATAACAAGAGGAGACAGAGACATAATTCTTAAAAAAAGAAGAAGAAGCTGGAAATTGAGAGAACTTGATAAGCACATTGTTAAAAACAGTATATCATATTCCGTTGCCAATTAAAGCAACAAAAAAAGCCATCTGATGGTGGGGAAAATGGCTGCCACAGGGACTTGGGTGTGGACGCCGTGTGGGCAGGGCCAGGAAAATCCAAACTCTGCCACATACATGGGAAGCCATACAACATTTGCTGCGATCTTTCCCAAAATTTTGCAGGAAAACAGGATTGGGAGAGGTCGGATAAAAGTCAGGGAAACATCAGCAGGTGCATGAATGTACCACAATGCTGTAAAGGGGTAGGAAGTGGGGGGAGACAGTACTGAACCTGAGGCAGATAACCTGTGTGGGAATGCTCAGAGAGACAGAGGAAGCGGGACTATTTCCTTGTCTGCAAGTTCCTGTCTTCACTGACCTCTCATTACCAGGAGGGGAGGAAGGGGCTGTGGCTCAGTGGAAGAACCTGTGCTTGGCATGCAGAAGGCCCCATGTTTGATCCCTGGCATCTCCAGTTAGAAGAACCAGCTAAGAGGTGATGTGAAAGATCTCTCCCTGAGACTCTGAAGACCCACGTTCAAATCCCCCCCCCCCCCGCTCTGCCATGGAAGCTTGCTGAGTGAACCTGGTCTGAGTCACGCACTCTCAACCTAATCCCTCTCACAGGGTTGCTGTGAGGATAAAACAGAGGGCAGGAGAACGGTGTAAGCCATTTATACCCCACAGGGGAGAAAAGGCGGGGTATAAACAAATGTTCCTCACCCAGGTAAAAATAGCCTGTCAGGAAGAAGTGTTCTAAGACTCATCTTCTCTCTAAGCACAGTCATTTCTGCACATAGGAGTCATTTTCCAGGAAGGAGCCATTCTCCTTGTGAGCCCCCCCCCCCTTTGCAATCTGAAGACAAGGATGGGCCTGCCACCCAAGAACTTGGGGGGAATGGGAGTGGCCAAAGGGAACTGCCCTTCCTCTTTGCTGTGAGGGGCTTCCTCAGCCTCCCAACGCCCCAACAGAGCATGTCAGGGTGAAGGCTGGGTCTAGTCAGCAGTAGATGCCAGGTGGTACACAATCCACCCTGCATGCAATGCTTTGCTTGCACTTGTGAGTGGGAAATCTTACTGATTTCAAACTTGCTGCTTGAGTTCAGAGAGCAGTTGGTAAAAACTGCACAACTGGAACAAAACTGGACACATGCTTACTAGACGCGAGGATCCCATCAATGAACTCTTGCCGAGTGATTTTCCCATCCTGGTCTTTGTCAATCCGTCGGAAAAAGTCCATGACACGAGACTTCTTGTGGTTCATCCAGCGCATGTACTTCTTCCGCCAGACATCGAAGTCAAAGTTTGCAAACTCTTTCAACTGGAAGAGGGAAATAATAATTCATTTGAAGTCTCCTTTGGAGGAGAAGCACGGTAACAAACGTTGCCCTATTCTGAGACAAGGAGGCAGTGGCAGTTTTGGCTTGCCTGGAAAAGGTGGGCCTGCCTGTCCAGCTGACGTCTCATACAAGGCAAGAGGCCATGAGCAAGCCTATTTTTCAGGCCTGGCATGGAATACTCTTTCTAGAAGAGAGAGGAGACACAAGAGAGTATCTCCCTTTGGATGATGCTTTAGCCTAGCTGATTGCAAAACCACTTCCCACTCCCAAGTGGTCACTGGTCACTACAGTCTGGAGGCAAATCGCTTGAGAGCAGCAAACCAATACACTGACTGGAGCGCCAGGGGCTTGTTAGTGGGGATATTTGCTGATGAAGTGGAAACACTTCTCTGCAAAGAGCTTATTATTTGTCTCCCACTTGCTTCCCTTGTGCTCACATTTTTAAACTGGAAATCAACAGAGACCAATGTAAAAGTACTGCTGGATTTGGGAACTTGCACTGGCAGAAGAATTAACTCAATGGAACTGTGTACCCAAACCAGAGGCTTTGCACACAGTCTGGTTTCTTAGGTAAACAAAGAGTCTTTGACTACAAGGCATTATCTCCTTCATAAGTCCTTCTGAACACTATATTTTCCATATTTAAGCTTGGATGCACCGTATACTGGCCAGTAGTACCAAAGGCACACCCATGGCATTCTGTAACTATCAGCAGAATAGGCAACTTAAGGCAGGCCAGGACACCCACCAGCTCCATCTGGACTCAAGCCCTACCTCCATGGAACATACCTGCTCTGTGTTTGCAAAGAAGCGAGGAACGGGGCGGGGGGGGGGGCAGGATTGTTACCTCTTCCAGCCGGTCCAGGGCATCATTGAGCTTGCGCTGACGCTCCAGCGCCAGCAGCCACACCTGCTGCCACCTGGCTGACAGCTGGTTGATGCGCGGGTTCTTTGCTTCCGATTGGGAAAGGAGGAGCATGGGAGGAGGGGCAGTCTGGCTCAAGGACTTCCCTGGAAACACAAAGGGGGGGGGGGGGATTGAACAAATCAAGCAGAGAAGGAAAGGTAGAGAGAGAATGAAAAGATTGTGGTTGAGGCAGCAGGTCGGTTTGTAGGGGAGAACACAAGAGCTGAATGCTGATGTTCTCCCAGCTGCTGAAGGGACTGGAAAGCCCGGCAACCTGCTCTTTCTGATAGAGTGCATGTGAGGAACTGTTTTGCCATTAGGATCTAGAGCAATGAGATGCTCTAGGACCCTGAAGCCATCCCACCCCAGATCTTAATCTGAGCAGTGGACAACAGAGCTCAGGTGTCCAAGGCCTTGTTTTGAAAAATGAGGTTCAGTTCTGGCATATACCAAATAATCACAGTGCTCCCCCCCCCCCACAACCCTCCTTATCACTCCCCTTGCAAACCGGGCCAGGGGACCTCAATTGGTATGCCAAGGCCCATGGCTCTCAAACAGGTGAGTCCTGGTCCCTGTCCTGTCCTGTCCCCCAAGCCAACTGAAGTTCCAACATACGATTGCTTCGGGATTTCTCAGTGAAAGGCCCATGCGTTGGCTCAGTGGCTTTCCTCTTGTATGTCTTTGTGACTCGGTCCACATCTGGCTGCTTTCGTGTCATTTCTTCCATGAAGGACTGCACAATACAATTAAAAACAAAACAAAACCAGGACCCAGGGAGGGGGAGAGAGAAGAGAATGTATTTTGTTACTGGGTGCTTTATGCTCCTCCTGTAGAGCAGGTCAAGGCGTTATGCAGGGAACTTGAACCCCAACCCTGAACTGATCAAGTCTTCTTCGGCTCCTTCCTCTTCAGATACCTAATTTAAAGCAGGTGTTCTTCATGCATTTTCAAGTGCTCTTTGACATTCTTTGCAAAGCTGAAATTTTCAGGAAGCCAGCTTCCTGGACCCAGAATTACTGCCACACTTGGCAGTGAAGCATCTCAATGAAATGGGGCAGGGGTGTGTGATCTGAGCCATAAAGACACAGGACTGCCCACGAGGTGAAATCCCTCCCTCTGCCACCCTAGATTAGATTAAGCGCATACACAAAAAAGGAGAAGATCCATGTGCAGGCCACAGTCCATGACAAGTCCCATGGCAACGAACAGGAGCCATACACAAACACTCAGCCAAAGATGAAATCAAATAAAAAGGCACGCAGCAGGCAGAGAGGAAACCAACAAGGCAGACTGACCTGGTGCTCTGCAATGAGGGCTTTCACTTGCTCTATGTTCTGCGGCATCGGGTCCTGATCCCGCTGGATCAGAGTGGTCTCAGCCCACTGGATCCATGCCAAGAGCTCCTCCAGAAGTTCTGCATTGGCCACCAGCTCTGAGAGCGCCACCTCAAGGCGCTGCTGATGCTGCTTCGCCCACGTGAGAACCTGGCAGGGAAAGCAGCGAGGAGGGAGAGCCGTGAATGTGGGTGGTCATCCTCTGAATAGGTGGGGAGGGAGGAGGCAAGGCCTCCATTGTATCCCAGGGCTTGGCTCTTGTTTTAAGCCCTCCAAATACTCTGGATCTGGACCATTCCTGCACTTCACATCTCTTGCTCACAGATGATGGATCGGTGACCTATTTGGTCTTTGTCAATCCTACAATTCTATAAAACTTCGAAAAATTGTGATCTGTTAACTCATGTTTTCAATATAAACACCTGCTCTATGCTAAGCAACGATGATTTTTAAAGAGAGTCCGGACTGAGAAACTGGACTTGAAAAGAAAGGATGAGTAAGCTATAGCTGGAGAGGATGTACACAGAAAAGGTATCCTAGGGATCATAAATCTGTCTTGAAAGCAATCAAATATTGACACACACACCCTTTCACAAGCTGCATGGATTTTCAGTATTTTGTGGCCCTTCCCCCTCAACAGTCAGAATGTTTGTGAACCTTCTATGACATCACAGCAGCTAAACCAAATAGGGAGGGAAGGGGGCTCACAGGCAACAAGTTGACGCTTATCCTACCAATAACCTTACAAATGTCAGCAAATGGCAAATGTCTCCCTTATAACTCACCTCTTCAAACCGGGCGCGGATGATGGTAATCCAGTGTTTGATGGTGGTGACACAGTCAGGGTGGCACACAGCTAAAATGACCTCTCCCATTGCAACAGCAGAGTTAACATCCACCCTTTTCTCTTCTACTTTCTTCATGAACTCCTGAACAAGAGAGAGACAGAAACAGAACACATAGCAGTGCCCATGAACAGCTAAAACCAGGACCAAACACCTACCACCCCAGCTGCCCTCTGAAAAACTGCCCACCTTGTGCACATCAATGAGTGCCTGCAGAGCTTCGGCATCATCAGGCAAAGCTCCCCGGAAGCGGAGGGTCTGCTCGGCTTCAGACAACCACTCCAGCAGCATGTGGACGGCGGTCCGGAACTCCTCCGCCTGAGAGGGAATGGCAACAAGCTGAATCCTCCCCCAGAAGCAAGGGCTTCAGAAAAGCCTTGTGGCACTAGAACCAATGGGCCGCCAAGTGCTCAGCATCCTCTTTTTCTGGACAGTGCCCAGGCAGTAGGCCCAGGGAGGCTCCCACGGAATATGGGAGCCACAGCCACCCACCCGCCTAGGTCTCGACTCTCCACCATGAGGTTATCAGAGTTCTCTGGCCATCACGGCTTTGGGAGGAGCTTCCTAGGCAAAAGGAGCAATTAGGCACAAGCTTATTGCTGACCCAGAAAGACATAAGAAGAGCCCTGATGGAGCAGACCAGTGATCCACCTGGTCCATCATCCTGTCTCACACAGTGGCCAGCCAGTTTTCTTGGGAGGCCGACAACAGGGCAGAGAGGCTGAGGCCTTCCCCTGGTGTTGCCTCCCGACACCGGGATTCAGATGCTGACTGCCTCAGAATGTGGAGGTTCCCTTTAGTCACAGTGGCTAGTAGCCACTGATGGACCTGTTCTCCATGGATCTGTCTGATCCTCTTTTAAAGCTGTCTGCACCTGTGGCCATCACTACATCCTCTGGCAGTGAATTCCACATTTTAATCACTCATTGAGTAAAGAAGTATTTAAAGAAGCACCAGCCCTCACTGCTTCAAGTGCAGCTGCTAAAATCCAAACAAGCCATATAAAGCTGCACTGGCACATGCCAGTCACAAAAAGGCCTCCAGCAACAGCAAACGGGTCCTGCAACTAGCCCCCCCTCTTCCCTCCTACTGGGCTAGCAAACACTGAAGAGATGCAACATAGAGGCCTGCAAGCACGGACAGCTTCCTCAGCCCACCTGCTTCAAGGCCTCCTCCAGCCGGGTTTGCTTTAAGACGGACATCTTGCAGACGGTGTCCCAGCGGTTACTCAGCTCTTGCAGCTGCACCTTCACCCATGTGGTGTCATCGCGGCTGTTCTCAATCAACTCCCGTCCGGAGCGTTTCAGTACCTGCACTGTGCCCGTTCGCTTGCCAAGCTCCTTTCTTTTCTCGGGAGGGGGGGGGGGGGGGGGGGGTGAGGAGAGGAGAAGCAGGGAAGGCAGTGTCAATGGATGTCTCTGCAGGGGCTCTTTGCACCTCCCAAGTTCAGGGCTTTGGCACATCAATACAGGCTGCAGCCCAAGCACATTGATCTGAAGCCACACTGGACGTAGCAACGCCAGGCCACTAGACTCAGTGAGCCACAACACTGCAGGTTCTTCATCCCAGCTGTTACCTTGTGGGCATCCATTAAGTTCATGACCAGATCCAGGTCCCCATGCACGGGCTGGTCTTCAGCCAACTGTGGCTCCACCTTGTACAGCCAGTCCACCAAAGCTTGCAAGGCATCCATGAACTGGCCAGAGAAAAGCAACGCCTCTTCCAGTTTGTGCTGCCTGTAAACAGGAGGGTTTCAGATGTCCCAAGAGTAGCTCATCTCCTTGTAAAGTATGGAGTTACTTTGAGCCTGGTTTGTATTTTAATGAACATGGGGGTGGGAGGTATGACCCTGGGGCTCTGGCTCCAATATATCTTAAGGCCTCAAACGCCATCTGAGCAGGAACCAGAGTAACCTGCTTGCAGTTGCCCTGATTGGATCCACCACCATCACTCCAAATCCTTCCTCTGCACCGAGTAATCCAGCCTCCTTGCTACTGACACATGCACCCCACAAGCAAGGTGGCCTGGTGTCTCTGGCCTCCATACCACAAATTTGCTACAAAAGGCTACCCAGGGTGCTCACCTTTCCACAGATTTCCCACACACTGTATCCCATTTGTCTCGGACTTCCCCGAGCAGATGATCCAGGCTTTGGGTGTCATCTGAAAACTGAGCTTTCTCCTTTAGGGCTCTTCCTGTACGAATTGTGGTATCATAGACAGGCTGTTTGCTACCTAGAGTTTTTTGGAACTCCTGACCATTTTTCCAGCAAAAAAAGACAAGACAAGAAAAAAAAAAAAGAATTTAAAAAATATATTCGGTTGGAGATGAAACCAGTAACTCCAGACACAGAGAAACATCCCCCATACCCCTTCAAATTTTAGTTTGGGAAAGGATGCCCCTCAGGGCATCTCAGCTGTTTCGTTGCAGCAACTGCAGGGAGAGAATTCCCTTGTGTTTGAGATTAAGCAGTACAAAATTCCTAGCTCAATCCCAGACATATCCAGTTTTGCAATGCACTTTCAATCCAGCTGCAAAGTGCACTGAAAATGGATTGAAAGTACATTATTCAGCGATTTTGAGAGCACCACTCAGGCAAAAGGGCCTGGAAGGACCCTCTCTGCTTGACACCTCAGCTGGCCACTGGCAAGGGATCAGGGAGTGACTTCTGTCCCTGGGCAAGGCAGGAGGCGTGTCACAACATTCATAGTTGATACACAGACAGGAGGTTCAGCTGATTTAAATACTGGTTGGAATGTTAAGTTTGAACAAAATTCATTTGGCGCTAATCATTTTCATAAATGTTAAGTTCAGATAACTCATCTAGCCATTAGGACTTTTCTGAGTTGCGTTTGGGGGAAATGCATCCAGAACCTCCTGGTCATACTGGAGAATTTCCACTGTTTAGGATGTTTCTGGGTTAGATTTGCTTGTCTATGCAGGACTGCTAGCATAAAGAGATGCAGAATTCCAAACAGGAGAGTGGGGCGGGCAGATACTTCTCAGTCTTGTGAGGCCTACTTTGTTCTGTCCCCCAATCCCTAAGTCAGCTATATTGACAAAGCACAAATGTGTGCTCAGGTTCTTTTAACAGTGAAGGAACAGCTGCTGTCAGTTAAGGAATCTGACCTCTTAGTCAACCAGAAAGATCAGACAAAGGCCCACTTTTCTTTACCAGAATCCCAACAACCCCACCTAAATGCCGGGGGGTCTCCGGGAAAATGGTCTGGGATGAACTGCTGCCTCCCTGTTCCAAGAAGCTGGGTTCTAACCTTGTGCTTAGAGAGTTGCAGCTTGATCTTGTCAGGATCGTTAGAAATTTCCAACTCAGAGTCCAGATGATTCTCCGCATCTTCCAACCAGTCAACCAACTTTTTCCACGCTTCATGGAACTGCAATGATTCCCAAGGTACAAAAAGTGTGCTTAGAAGTCATATCGTAGTTTTTCAAAATTCACCTTGAGCATTTAAGTGTCAAAACTGCATCTCATCTCTAGCCACCTCTGGCCTAATCTCCTTTTCACCAGTCTCGCCTCTTGGCACCTCTCCTTTCCCCAACATAAAACTCTTGAGCAGAGAAAATGTCTCTCTCTTCACCTGGCCAGTCTCTGCCACAAGTCTTTCCACTGGTTCTCCTGCCATTTTACATCAAGTTTCTAGTTCTCATGATTAAAGTTCTTTGCTCTGTCTAGATTTCCTCATTCATTGCCCCCCTTAGACTCCTGCATCTTCTCTTCTGAACATACTCAACTATGATTCTGGCCTTTTCCTGTTCTCCCTTTGGCCATTTTGCTCTCCAAGCCTGGTTGATCCTTCCCTTGAGTGCTCATCCATCCTGCCTCACCTTCAGCACTCTTCCACCAATGCCCATCCCCCCCAGATATACTGCACATCATCACGTCCTGACCAATCCCTGCTCCGCCCTATCCTTTGCACTGCAATTCTGCAGAGCAGGAAGAGCATCACTTGTACCTGTCCAGCCCCTGGCACACTGCCAATATTCAAGCCACATCCACCAGGACAAAAATGAGCAACGGTGCCTCCTTGTCCCACAGGCTGAGTCCCTCACCTGTTTTGCCCGCTTCCGAGCATCATCCAGAGCCCGTCCCCTCTCGACTGAACGCTGGACGACCTTCTCCCAGCGTGACTGGACACTGACTAGGAGATTCTTGATCAAGACCACGTCCTGTTTCTGACTCAAGAATTTCAGCTGGTTCCCAGTTTGATCCAAACCGATAATCTGGTCCCGATGTGCATTCACTTCGTTGGCAAAGACCTAGAGAAAGACAATGGACACAGCCCCCCAGGGGTTCCTCAGGTGCTATACAATGCAAAGAAGTAAATTTGTCTAGAATGAAATGTTGTTGCAAAAAAAGGTAGAGCTCCAGTGTGGTCCCCAGTTGCCAGGAAGCTTGCTGGGTAACCTTGGGCCAGTCACTGCCTTGTGGTCTAAAATACCTCACAGGGTTGTTGTGGGTATAAAATGGAGGAAGGGAGAATCATATGCACTGCCCTCAGTTTCTTTTGAGGAAGGGTGACATAAAAGGTACTAGACGGGCTGTCTATTGGGAGCCACTGTAGCAGATGGGTAGAGACCTAAGAGACTTGGACATTCAAATCCCATGTCTTCTACAGCTCTGCCAGTTCAAGATTCCATCTATGACAAAAGGGAATAATGCAACCAACTTCCCAAAGTCGTTGTGAAGACAAAACACACCATGAATGCGGTAGGAAAACTCTGTAGACTGAACCACCTGCAGAAGCAGCTGAGTGAGACTAGTAGCATCTTAAAGACCAACAAGATTCCCAGGATGGAAGCTTCTGAGAGACAAAGCTCCCTTTGGTCAGATACCTGAGCTTCAACTCTCAATAGCCTAGAAATCTTGCTGGTCTTTAAGGTGCTACTGGACTCGAATCTTTCTCTCGTACTGCAGACCAACCTGAAACTATCTGCAGAAGTGGCTGCATCCCAAAACCAAGGCTGGCAAATGTCCTCATTGGCAACCAAAAGACATAAAATACACTGTCCAACTAATAATAGAAACAAACCTAGTCCTCATTCCTCCAAAGAAAATGACAGAACTGTAGAATTAGAAACAAAAGTTCACAAAATCCTCAGCTATTTCTAACATTTCAGCTAAACGCAACTCAAACAGCAGCTTCAACCCCACTTTTGGCGAGGAGTACCGGGTGCCGTTACCTTGTGATCCTCTATCTGTGAGAGCACGGTGCTGAGGATGAGGCTGGGTGAAGGGGCCACGTTCAAGCTCTGCTCAGCAAGGGTCAGCCAGTTGATGAAATCCTGGAGGGAGTTCTGGAACTCCGTGGCCAAGTTGAGGGCCTCTTCCAGCTTGGACTGAGGGGAAAAGGCAGCAGAGTGAGAAAGGATGGAATGGGAACCCAAGTTCACAAAAGCGGTCACACTGGTTGTCTTTCTGAAGTGAGCCTCCTCCATTCAATTAGGGAGCATGCCTGAGAGGTGACCTTTTTTTCTCAGCAGAGGAACTACCTCACCCTTTGGAAGCACCTTGAGAATTAATTTGTCAGTTCACTGAGCAAAATCTTGCTGTATTCCTGAAGAAAGAAGCTTTCCCCATAGAAGATGCTGGTAGCACGCCATACAAATTAAGAACTGTGCGCACAAACACATGAAACTGCCTTATACTAAATCAGACCACCAGTCCATCAAGGTCTGTATTATCAACACTACTAGCAGCATCTCTCCAGAATCTCAGACAGAGGTCTTTCACATCACTTACTACCTGATCAGGATTGACCCTGGGACCTTCTGTATGGTAAGTTACCTTCTGTTCTACTGAGCCAAATCCTTGGTACATCAGGGTCACTACTGTCTACTCTGCCTGGCAGTGGCCCAGGCTGACATAAGAACATAAGAGAAGCCAATGCTGGATCAGGCCAATGGCCCATGTAGTCCAACACTCTGTCACACGGTGGCCAAAAAATACCAGGTGCCATCAGGAGGTCCAGCAGTGGGGCCAGGACACTAGACGTCCTCCCACTGTTGCCCCCCCAAGCACCAAGAATACAGAGCATCACTTGCCCCAGCCTGAGAGTTCCTATCTATACCTTGTGGCTAATAGCCACTGATGGATTTTTGCTCCATATGTTTATCTAATTCCCTCTTGAAGCTGTCCATGCTTGTAGCCGCCGCCTCCTCCTGTGGCAGTGAATTCCATGTTCTTTGGGTTCTTCTTTGGGTTCTTCACTCTTTGGGTGAAGAAGTACTTCATTTTATCTGTTCTGATGTCTTTCACATCACCCTAGTACCTGATTTTTTAAACTGGTAATCCCAGGGATTGAACCTGTAACCTTCCACTTGCCAAGTGGATGCTGTGCCACTGAGCCACAGCCCCTTTCCTGGAAAAAAAAGCAGTGGTTGAGTGGAATGTCTTGACCACAAGGCCTAGCTTTCTACCTTATTGTTAGCGACCTCTCAGTAGGACGGTAAAGATCCCTGTGGTCCAGACTGGGAAATCTAGTAGGAGCTGAAATGGGGTTCTGCTTCCTCTTGGCTTCCAAAACTGTGCTGTGTCCCAATCCTTAAATTAAGCACTGCATATTGACTACAGCTAGACTTTTTACTCTTCTAACTCAGACTTACTGAAATATCAGTCTTTTCCCAGTTAACACTACCACCACCCTGGCCAAATACCACCCAAGTTCTAACACCTCCTGTGTGAAGTGGGGTTGGGTTTGCTTGTGGGGCTCTGCCTGGACAGACTCTCCTTCCTTCTCTTATATGGGTCAGAGATTGTGCCAGAGCTGTGGCTCAGCAACAGAGCACCAGCTTTGCATGCAAAAAGTCCTGGATTCAACCCTGGCATCTCCAATTTGCAGGTGTTGGGGGGGGGGGGTTTCTTTGCTTGAAACTCCTGGAGAGCTCCTTCCAGTCAGAGGAGACAATCCTGCGCTAGATGTGCAAGAGCCTGACTGAGCATGGAAAGACAGGGGACTGGGGTTCCTCTGGGTGCTGGTTTGCCCATTGTGAGCACAGTAATTTGGCGATGCAGCCACCACACCCCTATCACAAAGTACCTTTCTCTCTTCCATCTTTGTGCTGATGAGGCCCCATTTCTGTTCCAGGAGGGCCACACTTTGCTCCGTCTTCGATCCGGATCCAGAGTCATCCCGGCTCAGAAGCATCAGTCGCCCCTTCGCCAAGAGCTGGCTGTAGACCTCCTCGTTGGCTTTAAACTGGGCATAGAGCTCCTACAGCAAAGAATCATCAAGAGCACGTCACACAAAGGTGGCTTCCAAGGACATATTATCTATTTAAGCATAAACAGGAACAGGGGAAACAGCCCACATCACTGACCTCTTTTGCTGTGTGCAATCGCACCAACAATTTTTGGCCGATTACAGCTTCCAAGCACTTCCTCAGATGTTAAATATGAATAATGCTTTTATATTTTTATCTTATTGTTCATAGCAATTTTATTTTTGCTTGCCTTATTGTTGGCTTACTTTTTTTCTGCCAGAAGCTGTGCTTTTGTTTGTTCTCACTTGGGCAAAACTTCACTTGATAAAGAAAGTGTTTATGGCTGTCTGACTCTGCTTATTAGCCAAACTGGCACCCTCTTGCCCCTGCACACATCCTGATACTGCCTCTGTTTCTGTTATAGTGCTTTTAAATAGACTCTCCAACAACCCCTAATTCTTTTTTTTTATGGCCCCCCGGTAGGGGTTTTTTAATTTACATTTACTAAAAACTACAACGAAATTAGGGAGGGAATCTACACACTATAGGAGAAAGAAAAGAAAACCCACTAAAAACCCAAGGGTTGGAGGTCACATACAGCTTGTAAAAAATTTGCTTAACAATAATAAAAACCTTTCTTTAACATTGAGTGATCAATCATCATCATAGCTTGTAAAAACATCCCAACAAATCTGACTATACGAAGAGTAGTTCAGGAGAATCGCTATTTAACTTAGACACAAATTACAGAGAACAATGGCATTTCATTTAACCATTATTTTTCCCTCCACCATTAAAAGCAAATCTCCCTTATAAATAAAAGCTGAATGGTGGTGGCACTTCTCTAGAACATTCCACACGCTCCAGAATTGGTTGGCGCCCTGGTATGTCACTCAGAATCTGCCCCTATCCACTGGCTGCATTGCTTGAGTTTCGCCTCCAACATTCTAAACAGTTTGCTGTTCCTCTCCCCCCTATAGCCAGTCAGAACACAGAGGTTATTTGCATATGCAGCCTCATTGGCCTTTGCCTCGGAACACAGAGGTCGTTTGCATATGCAACTTGATTGGCTTTTGCCTCTAACATTCTAAACAGTTTGCTGTTCTGAGGTAAAATGTGTCCAATCTCCAGGTGAGGGCTGGAGATCACTCAAAATTACAACTGTTCTTTAGGTAGCAGAGATC